GCCATGACATTAAAAGAAATACGTGGTACGATCAGGAGTGTCGTAATGTTACAGATATGAAAAATGCAGCGTATAGGGCAACCCTGCGGACAGTAGCAACACGTAATGCGATGGAGAACTATCGGGAGAAAAGAAGAGAGGAGAAACGTATTTTCAGGAAAAAGAAGAAAGAACAAGAAAAACGTGAGCGTGAGCAAATCGAGATGTACAGAAGTCAGAATGAAGACCGAAAATTGTACCAACGGGTAAAACACCAAATCGAAGGCTTTGGTGCAGGCACATCCTCCTGTAGAGATGAAGAAGGAAACCTGGTGACAGATACAGACAAACAGAATAGCAATCAATCGGTTGAAGAATAATAAGCAGCAGGTGCCGATGGGTTACAAGCCGAACTATTCAAGACTGGTGGTCAGATGCTGGTAAGGAGCATGCACCAGCTGATTAGTACAATTTGGCTAGAGGAATACATGCCCAATGTTTGGAACCTCAGCATCCTGTGTGTGCCAACTATAGAGGAATGAGTCTCCTTCCCATCGCATATAGAGTACTATCCAGTGTACTGTGTGAACGACTGAAGCCAATGGTCAATGACACTATTGGATGATACCAATGTGGCTTCAGACCTGGCAAATCCACCATTGACCAGATTTTCACTCTGCGCCAAATCCTGGAAATGACCACGAAAAATACATCGACACATTCCATATATTCGTCGGCTATAAAGCCGCATTTGACAGCCCTATCCGTTCAGAGGTGTATAAAGCCATGTCTGCGTTTGGCATTCCTGCAAAATTAATTCGGCTAACTGGCACAAGATCAGCAGTTAAAGTCGGAAAAGACCTCTCGGAGCCCTTTAATACCGAACGAGGATTCAGACAAGGTGACAGTTTGTCGTGTGATCTTTTTAACCTTTTGCTGGAAAAGGTCATACGAGAGGCAAAAGTGAACAGAAATTTCACTCTGTACACCAAACAACACATGTTACTCGTCAACGCCAATGACATCGATGTAATGGGTCGAACATTGCGAGTGGTTACAACCACCTTTGAACAAATTGAGAAGGAGTCTGCCAAAGTGGGTCTGGCAGTAAACGTCAACGCGCAAGACGTCCAGTAGACTCGGACCAACTGTGGAACTTGAGAACTACAACTTCGAGGTAGTCAAAGATTTTATATACCTTGGTACCGCCATAAACAAAACGAATGACATCAGTTTTGAAATTCGGAGGATAGTGATGGCTAACAGATCCTACTATGGTCTGAGCAAACAACTCAAAAGCAAGGCCACCTCCCGCCAGACCAAACTCACACATTCTCAAGACGCTGATACTACCCGTTATACGGATCTGAAGCATGGGTACTTACGTAAGCAGATGAGGCAGCTCTTGGAGTGTTTGAGAGAAAAATTCTCCGAAAGATCTATGGGCCGATCTGCGTTGACGGTGAATATCGCCGTCGAATGAACCATGAGTTGTACCAGCTATTCTCGGACATCGACATTGTTAGACGTATTGAGCTGCATGGACAACGTTGGCTAAGTCATGTTTTGAGGATGGATTAAGATGCCTTTTTTTAAGCTCGGCTTATGAAACGAATGTTCTGTCTGGATTTTTTAAAGAATATTTTCAGGGTCTATCAAAGGTGTGGATTATTTTAAAAATATTTACAGGGGTCTATCAAAGGCGGAAGTCTATCAAAGTCTTGGGCTATAACAATGCAGAGAATATTTTTCAAAGTCACTTGTTACAATCATTGCTGTCTCTCTGTCCCCCTCCAATCCACACTCTTTAAATATCGTTATAACATTTCAAATACAGTAGGTCTATTCTGTAACCTTTTAACAACATTCGACATTGTTTATTTTACAACAATTTCATTTGTTTGTTTTGTTGTTTTTACAATAACAAAAGAAAATTAAACAATATCGAATGTTGTTAAATGTTACAGAATAGGCCTACAGAAGTCAAATGTCATACTGTCTTCTGTTTTCCGGTTCCCCATCTATTTTACGTTTTCCGTCATAGTCCTAAGAACGACAGGTATTTTTAATGCAGGGCAAAACCTATAAAGATCAAACACGCACACATAGCTACAACAATTTTCAGAATAGCAAACCAAAAAAAAACAGTACGAGAAATCAAATAGGAAACCCAGAAAGAGAAACAAATAAAATGTTATTGCTTATTGCATCGACTAAGTCAAGTAGTTTTTGGTGCAATTTGCCTGTGGGAAAATTTGAAGATTTTCCACCAAACCTATGATGTGTCAATTTTGTTGGTTAGGAAGGTATGTCGGTAGGTACGGACATGATTGCAAACACTCTTGGCAGATATTTGAGGTTATGTTTTGGGGTTGTTGTTTTTCTTCTTTTTTTCGTCGGTGGTTGTTATATTTTACGATATTGTGTTCAGTAGGCGGAAAAGCATATTGAAGCTTCACATGTTTGCCAATATTTCCGCACACCAAACACACACACATACTCGCAAGTCTTCCATTTATGTAGTAAAACGGAGGGGGTCTATTAAATTCCCAGCATTGAAATCTCGTTGTTTGCACACGAAACAAATGTGACCATAAAAATCACATATAGAACCACGCTCACACACACGCTTCCCATTAAGAAGCTATCTTGTCATTTGTGTGCGGAAAAAGATTTCTAATAAAAAAGTCTTGTTTGCTTTATTTGAGTAGAGCTTGGGAGAGATGAAATACCTTGATATGGATTTAAAGTTTACAATGTAAAGGTATTGAATAAAATAATTTAAAAATTTGATAGGCCCTTCAAAATATTGTTAAAAAAGACCCGCTTTTGAAAGCCCCTCTAAATAATTAACTAAAAACCACGCCTTTGATGGACCCCCTCTAAAATAATTTAAAAAAACGGAATCCTTTGATGGACCCCTTCTAAATTAATTTTTAGAAAATCCACGCCTTTGATAGGCCCTCCAAAATAATTTTTAAAAATTTCACGCCTTTGACATATATTTTTTAAATCCACGCCCTTTTTCGCTTCACATCCCCCACATATTCCACTTTAAACAATTTATCAATACTACATCTAAATAAATATACTCCGCTCAAACACACACACACTGTCATCTAACCTAGGATCCACATTGAAATTGATCCAATCGTGGACCAGGCGAAAAAAATCAAAACTTTCCAAGTAAACACAGGCACAAAGCCAATTAGTTGTCTAAAGACAGCTAACGGAAATGATGCTAGTCAGAGATGCCAAAACGACACAAAATTCCAGCTAACTGTAGCTAAACGTGCGAGCATCTAGGGAACAACACATATCCTGTAGCAGTGATTTGGAAAAATGTTGTCTGTAAACGATTGTAGGTAAAGGCCATGTACATATGTGTGTGTGTGTGTGTGTAACACAAATCAATGGGGCGGTCATTTTTTTAGGATTTGTGGGATGCCAATACCAACAAAGACATCCATTGCTAGCCAAGTTTATTGGAACACACACGCCCTCCTTCATACTTATATAAATATATTTATAGGGAGCTAAAATCTGTCTGGGGAAAATCGAAATTCCTTTAATTTAATTCATTAGCACGTGACTGTGTTGGGGAGAAAATACAGCGACAAACAACAACAATTTTCAAAATTGGATTTATTGGCTGTTTTTGTTCTCCACTGCTGCATTTCTTTCGAAATGTATTGGAATGTGTGAGTGTGTGTTTCAATTGTACCAAGCGCACCTGCGCTACTCTATAGATTTTCCAATGTAATTGAATTTTCTTTGGTAATTTTTAAAAGCTGCTAATAGATGAGGAGCTTCTTTTTGTCACAAGGAATTTTAAACAATCGGAAACAATTGTTCTCCAAAGTGAAGGAAGAAGGACGAGTGATATAAAATAAACAGTTGCTGTTTTGAAAAATTCTCGAAAAATATTCTTTTATAAATTCACGCCTTGGATAGGGCATCGAAAAATATTTTTTAATAAATCCACGCTTTGGATAGGCCCTCGAAAAATATTCTTTAATAAATCCACGCTTAGGATAGGCCCCCCAAAAATATTCTTTAATAAATCCACGCCTTGTATAGGCCCTCGAAAAATATTCTTTAATAAATCCACGCCTTGGATAGGGCATCGAAAAATATTCTTTAATAAATCCACGCCTTGGATAGGGCATCGAAAAATATTTTTTAATAAATCCACGCCTTGGATAGGGCATCGAAAAACATTTTTTAATAAATCCACGCCTTGGATAGGGCATCGAAAAATATTCTTTAATAAATTCACGCCTTGGATAGGGCATCGAAAAATATTTTTTAATAAATCCACGCCTTTGATAGGCTGTCGAAAAATATTCTTTAATAAATCCACGCCTCAGTTGGCCCTTGAAAAATATTCTTCAATAAATCCACGCCTCAGTTGGCCCATGAAAAATATTCTTCAATAAATCCACGCCTCAGTTGGCCCTCGAAAAATATTCTTTAATAAATCCACGCCTCAGTTGGCCCTTGAAAAATATTCTTTAATAAAACCACGCCTTGGATAGGCTCTGGAAAATATTCTTCAATAAATCAACGCCTTGGATAGGCTCTGGAAAATATTCTTCAATAAATCAACGCCTTGGATAGGCCATCGAATACTCTTTAAAAATTTACGCTTTGGGTAGGCTGTCAAAAAATATTCTTTAATAAATCCACGCCTTGGATAAGCCCTCGAAAAATATTCTTAAGTAAATTTACGCTTTGGGTAGGCTGTCGAAAAATATTCTTTAATAAATGCACGCCTTAGATAGGGTCTGGAAAATATTGTTTAATAAATCCACGCCTTAAATAGGCTGTCGAAAAATATCCTTTAATAAATCCCCTCCTTTTATTGAGCCTCGAAAAATATTTTTTAAAACTGCACGCCTTTTGCTTTGATAGGCCCTTGAAATTATTATTTTAATGTCAATGCCTATTGATCCGATTGCCCTTATGGCCTTCAGTTACTTTCTAATTGTTTTCAACGAAATAATTTTTTCTTCTGCGTCTCATTTTCTTTTCACAATCATTTATTCAATTTCATCATACCATGATCCTGTTTGTGCTTCTCTAATGCCTCTAGCATTGAATCCAAAAAATCGGGTAAATTAATTTTTGCCTTACAATCAAAATCAACATTATATGTGTGAGCGGCATGAGCCAAAAATGGCAATTTCCTCAAAGTTCGGCCACTTAAACCTTTACTGCGCACAGATAACTCCTTAAGCAGTCCCTCATGTTTATCATCACTTTGCAGTGATTCCGCACTTTCAATAATTCCAACACGTATTAATTCCGTAATCATTGAATCATAAATTTTCCGTATAGCCAATTCATTTGGCAACCCGATATATTGTTTAATATCAGCTCGATCTAAAAATGCCATATCAATGGTATCAGCTAAATTCGATGTGGCCAAAATCAAAACATTCGGATGTTCCTTAATACTATCCAATTGTGTCAGTAGGGCATTCACAACACGCATAGCATCTCTTGGTTCCTGTCCCGACATACAATCGCGTGCATATGCCAATGACTCCACCTCATCGATGAGGACACAGACCAAGCTGTGCGAATCCTGTATGATTTCCTTGATCTTACCAAAAAGACGCATAACCAATTTGCCACTCTCTGAGAACCATTTGGAAAATAGCGAATGGGAATTGATTTCAATTAAATGGGTATAACGAAATATGGGACGACATCGTATCGACAACTTTTGGGCCAATGCCTTGCACAGACTCGTCTTGCCAGTACCTAGAAATATAAATTTTTAAAAATTAAGAAAAGATTTGAAAATTTCGTACATTGAATCTTACCTGGTGGTCCATGAAGTAGTATAAGTCGATTGCAGGACACCACATTTGTATTGACATTATGTTGGGAAAACATTAATGCAGAGAGAGCAAATTTGAGCAGCTTCTCTTTGGATCCTTCATCGTAAATCAAATGTTCCCATAAACCAACAAACGATTTTGAAGGCAACAACCAATGACTGGATGAAGGTATGGCCTCTGCCTCTGATTCCGCTTCGAACATTTCCATTTCCATGGGTCTTATTTGTGGCCAATAAAAATGGAATATGAAATACTCAGCATCGCTGGCAGAAGAAAGCTAAGGAATAAAGAAAACACAAAGAATTTAAAAAAAATTGATTCGAGGGCCCGGATTTCTTAATGAATAATTTTTAAACCCCTATCAAAGGTGTGGATTTATTAAAGATTTTTTTTGAGGGCCTATCAATCGCGTGGATTTATTAAAGAAAATTTTTCGAGGGCGTGGATTTATTAAATCATGTTTTTCCAGGACCTATCAAAGGCGTGGATTTATTAAATTATATTTTTCGAGAGCCGAACAAAGGCGTAGATTTATTAAAGAATATTTTCCAGGACCTAACAAAGGCGTGGATTTATTAAATAATATTTTTCCAGGACCTAACAAAGGCGTGGATTTTTAAAGGAAATTTTTCGAAGGCCTATCAAAGGCGTGGATTTATTAAACAATATTTTTTAAGAGCCTATCAAAGGCATGAATTCTTAGAGAATATTTTTCGAGGGCCTATCAAATGCGTGGGTTCTTAGAGAATAATTTTCGACAGCCTCTCCAAGGCATGGGTTCTTAGGGAATACTTTTCGACAGCCTGTCCAAGGCGTGGATTCTTAGGGAATATTTTTCAAGAGCTTATCAAAGGCTTGAATTTATTAAAGAATATTATTCGAGAGCTTATCAAAGGCTTATCCATAGACAAACCAAATGAGGTCGATATAATACCTTGATTAGATATTTTCGTCGGCCACACCCCTGCCATAGCATTGTAGACCGACTGTCAACACCTAGGCACATCAAGAGAGATCTTCATGATCTAAAGAAGTCTAAATGTACATGGGCGAACCTCTGGGTCATCAGGCTTAACACTAATAATCTTAACACAACACGTAATCAGGATGGTGCAATCCTTATTGGACGCAAATTGATGGATCGATACCGGACACATGCCCATAATGTGGACTAGGACCATACAATTTCCGCAGGCTACATGCGAATTACTTAATGCATATAAAGCCTCATACACTGTCTATAGAAGAGGTGTTTTTTTCTTTCTATAGAAGGGGTATATTCTTCTGTCTACAGAAAGGGTCTGTTGTTTTGCCTATAGAAGTGATATGTTCTTCTGTGTATGTAAGGGGCTTGTACTTCCGTCTATAGAAGGAATATCTTCCTCTGTCTCTAGAAAAGGTCTTCTATCTGAGGAAAGGACATGATCTTCTATATGTAGAAGAGGAAAGTCGATTTCCTTACATTTACATAGAATATACGTCCACTTCTATATATCGATTAGGTTTCTTTTAAATCGACAAGTCATCTCTATTCTCATATTGAAGACCCTATCAAATTCCCATTTAACCCTTACCTCTCCATCCTTTTTACTTTCACATTCCAGCAAAATACTTTCAATACATTTCAACGGCTCCTCTTCCAGATCTTCCGGTGACAATTTAATAACCTCATTGAATGGAAGCTGTTTCCTGGCCAACAAATTCCTCAGCGGTCCTTCAATCAGCGACTGTAATTCTTCCAATCTTTTGCTAAAACCAAAACCCAATGTAGAAAACATTTTTTTTAATTAATATTTTTGGGACAATATTCACTCTCACTTACCCTGGTAATAATTTTACACAGACCTCCACGTGTACAGCTCGCTTGGAGGTAATCAATTTCATGTTTAATTTAGTTTTTTTTATTTGCAAATACTTTCTGTGTGGCAACAAACTCTGCCAACTGATCTTTTCATGCAACGTTCCGTGTTCGCTTTGTTGTGTGTATCTTGCAATTTGCGTTGTTGTTGGTGCTACATGTTGTGTTTACATTTTTCGCAACAAATGTCATGTCATGGCACTTTGAAAATACGCGCGCGCCATATGTTAGAGTTGCCAACTAGAATTTGTCATTGCATGCCTTGGCAGTGGTTTGTGCATGAACTAATCACAATGCTAATGGGGTTATTGTGAGTGGAATTTTTAAGGCAATGTAGAGTGCATATTCCCGAGCACAAACAATTGTGAATCTTTTTAAATTATTAAATAATAAAAGATTCTGGAAAGAGAATTTGTAAATGAAATTAATTTTTTTAAAACCTTTAATAAAAAATAACCCTAAAAATATAGACCTGCTGTTGTTAGAAAGTGGTGAGTATTATAGAAGTGCTGCTCGTATCATAAAAAATATTTTTTTCAGAAATCTTTAGATGAACTAGAAATCCGATTTATGCAGAAACCGCAGCATAACTTCTTTGCTTTTGGTACATTATGTTCAAATCCAAATCAATTGGACAAAGTTTCGAAAATCGGTAAAATAAAGACTAAAATGCAGGGCATCAGAAATCCTTCAAAATAGCACCTGTATATACCCCGTCATGCAAAGCGTGGAACTTCGCTACTTACGGAAGTAGATTGGGGAGCATACTCAGATTAAATCTGGGATACGATAATTGTCATTGAGCGAACAGTGGCTCAAATGATGGAGGAAAGTCACTCTTCAACTGATGCTGGCGTGGTTGTTTTGGCACCATCAGTCAACTATAGTATTAACACATTACTGTTTCAATACATGAAAGACCCCTAACAAGTTCTCGGGCTTAGTTGCCATTTCATTGTAATGGTTCACATCAAATTTGCCAAATCCCACGGCGACCAGTTCTATGTACCGGATTGGCTTGGAGGGATTCTCTGACCTGGGGCTGTCACCTCAATGGCTACATTCTGCATGCCAGCTGCGAACACTTTTGGTCTGTGCGAGGAGAGAAAGAAACCCCGGATCTTGGTTGGCTCTCTTCTGTTTGTCGGTGCTGCATCGACCACAGATTAACCTTGGTGAGATGTAATAGATGAATGGAAATCGTACATTTCCGCGTCTGTTCAGGTATTAGCCGACTTCAGGACTAAAGTTATAAGATTTATTATGCTGCATGATGCGTCAGCAAATGTCCCAGTGTGTCCTCACCATCTTCGTCGTCAAAGTTATCGTCCCCAACGTCTTCGACGGAATATGAGACACCCCAACTGTCTCCTCTACAGCAGACGCATAACCTGACACATTTTTAATTGTTATGGACTTCGAAACAAATCAAGGAATCGCCGAGATCCAGAAAACCATGCCGACCGATACTTGTAGCTTATACCGTAGCAATTGGTTACAACGTTTTCCGAAACTACTGTTGCGCTCTATAAGCGGAGGTGGAGGAATTACGGAATCCCTGAGCCTTGGGTCTTGCTTATGAGCGAGATAAACTCCGTCGATCTAACAAAGCAGATCCCAGGGTCAGGGAATTCACAATGGGTCATCAGCAGATTAGTCCCGCGGCATAATCGGAATAAATGGTTGAAGCATCTAAAGTTGCAACATCGGAATCGGTGTGAGTAAACTGTGGGTTACGGTTAAGTCGCTCTCGAATCCTGGTGAGAAGGATGATAAGATTTCAGTCACATTTAGCCACGAAACTGCGAATGATCCGAAATATGTTGAGCATTCTACGGCGAATCGAAGAGTACTACGTCGCATAAGATCTCTTCCCGCCGAGGAGTACCACCACCGTTTACAATGGGTGATGTTGCATTTGTTATTCGTAGCGCTACGACAACTAAAGCGTTGGGCCTTAACAGATGGATATTCTGTCAGAAACCGCTGCACGAGCCCGGAGTTGAGTACCTGACCAAAGTCCTTAATTTGTCGATACCCACTCACCAAATAATGATGCCAGCAAAGGCGAATCATACAGGTCGATTTCAATTTTTTACCAGTAGCGAAGACTCTTGAGGTATTACGCCTCCCCAGCTTTAGGGAATGCTATCCAGTTGCCGAACATCAACATGGGTTATGTAAACAACACATCACAACAACAGTGTTGCATGCAATTTTCACACATAATTCGAGGACTTCGTCAGAACCGGACCTGCCATAGAACAGTGTTGGTAGGACTTGACCTATCAAAAACCTTTGATACCACATTGTCTTTAGGATATCAAGAACACTTCTCTATTTGTGTGAACGCCAGTCGTAAAGTTCCGGAATAAGAAGTCCAAACCCCGTAGAGCAAGTTGCTCAGGGTGGAGTGATATCTGCGGAATTGTTTAACATCTAACATCGTTAAGTATGCAGATGATTGTACAATCATTGCATCGGGTTGTTGAGGATATATGTATGTCTTCAAATCGTCCGGGCAAAACACTGTTATCTGCGATAAGTTGAAAAGTAGGAACAAGGTCCTCATGTCGCTTGGGGCCCAAATAAGGAAACTTTGTTGACCACTTACAAAGCTAGAGTTCGGCCTGTGGCCAGTGAATACTAGTGCTACGCAATGAAGAAGTATTCAGACTTGTCAGAACAACGCAACATGCGAAGATCATCCCCTTGCGCACCAGATTGGATGCTTCAGGGATAATCATCCTAACAGTTATATGGGGAGTTGCCAATCTTCTACTAGGCGCGTCTTCCCGGGTGGCGGATGGGAAGGGGGTCTCCATGATGTGCAGAGAGAAACTGACCTAGGTCTCCTAGATCAACTTCTCTCTGTGTGTCTTGTGGAAACCCTGGGAATCTTCGGATCCCCCGTGGACCAAAATGGATCGGGGTAGTGCCCTTAAATAAATCAACTTAGATGGGAAAAAAAGTAAAAAGAATAAAGTCACGGTGCAGGGAGTTAATAACCCAGTACCGGCGGCAATCGTTGGTGAGGTCACAAGCCACGTGTCGTCGAGATCAAGCGATTGTGATCCGGCTGTTCTAGGTGTGGATGCTTTGGCACCTACAGCCGTACCTGCTACAAGTGCATCAACTCCAAAACAAAACATTGACGAACCGCCAATTCATTTGGCTAACGATAATGTCAAGACTGATGAAAATCAGTCCTTGGCTGACAGGACTGAAGTTCTGGGAGGGGACGACCTACACGGGACTCTACGCGCTATCCGCGATAGTCTAGAGGAACAAAGTAAGGAACTCTTCAACCAGTTAGACAAACTGGTACCGGAAGAGCAATGTGGGGACACGCTCCGGAGGAACTGCTTTAAATCTTACCCTAACTGATGATGAGCTGGACACCACGGTAATCCCAGCCAAGTCTACACAGGGGGATGGCCATAGCAGCAACGAAGGAAATGTGGACCCTATTGTCCAACCGACCTCCAGTCTGTCTTCAACAGGTCCTGTGTCGAGGCAATCTGCAACAGAGGTGATGTCCGACGATGGGGAATCTGTTGATCCCCCGTAAACGGACAGTGGCTCGAAGGTTGGGAAGGCCCGAGAAGTGACGGATGCGAAGCATTACAAACGTGCTGTTTCATATCTTCGCAAATTCGTGGGGCGAGACGTAGAGCAAATTGCTCAGGGTGGAGTGATATCTGCGGAATTGTTTAACATCTAACTTTCTGCTATGCTATGTCCTTCAGTCGGTATTGAGATCGTTAAGTATGCAGATGATGATTGTACTATAATTGCATCGGGTTGTTGAGGACATATGTATGTCTTCAAATCGTCCGGGCAAAACACTGTTATCTGCGATAAGTTGAAAAGTAGGAACAAGGTCCTCATGTCGCTTGGGGCCCAAATAAGGAAACTTTGTTGACCACTTACAAAGCTAGAGTTCGGCCTGTGGCCAGTGAATACTAGTGCTACGCAATGAAGAAGTATTCAGACTTGTCAGAACGACGCAACATGCGAAGATCATCCCCTTGCGCACCTGATTGGGTGCTTCAGGGATAATCATCCTAACAGTTATATGGGGAGTTGCCAATCTTCTACTAGGCGCGTCTTCCCGGGTGGCGGATGTGCAGAGAGAAACTGACCTAGGTCTCCTAGATCAACTTCTCTCTGTGTGTCTTGTGGAAACCCTGGGGATCTTCGGATCCCCCGTGGACCAAAATGGATCGGGGTAGTGCCCTTAAATAAATCAACTAAGATGGGAAAAAAATTAAAAAGAATAAAGTTACGGTGCAGGGAGTTAATAACCCAGTACCGGCGGCAATCGTTGGTGAGGTCACAAGCCACGTGTCGTCGAGATCAAGCGATTGTGATCCGGCTGTTCTAGGTGTGGATGCCTTGGCACCTACAGCCGTACCTGCTACAAGTGCATCAACTCCAAAACAAAACGTTGACGAACCGCCAATTCATTTGGCTAACGATAATGTCAAGACTGTTGAAAATCAGTCCTTGGCTGACAGGACTGAAGTTCTGGGAGGGGACGACCTACACGGGACTCTACGCGCTATCCGCGATAGTCTAGAGGAACAAAGTAAGGAACTCTTCGACCAGTTAGACAGACTGGTACCAGAAGAGCAATGTGGGGACACGCTCCGGAGGAACTGCTATTAAATCTTACCCTAACTGATGATGAGCTGGACACCACGGTGATCCCAGCCAAGTCTACACAGGGGGATGGCCATAGCAGCAACGAAGGAAATGTGGACCCTATTGTCCAACCGACCTCCAGTCTGTCTTCAACAGGTCCTGTGTCGAGGCAATCTGCAACAGAGGTGATGACCGACGATGGGGAATCTGTTGATCCCCCGGAAACGGACAGTGGCTCGAAGGTTGGGAAGGCCCGAGAAGTGACGGATGCGAAGCATTACAAACGTGCTGTTTCATATCTTCGCAAATTCGTGGGGCGAGACGTGAATTTGATCTCGGACTGGGAGGTTCACCTCATCAAGGGTAAGATGAGATATGTGAG